AAATAAAGGCATGACCTTGTTAGAAGTCACATCCAAATTGAAAGTGATATTCACCAGAATTCATGCAAAGCAACTAGGTCTCTCAGCTGTTAAACTGATGGATCTAGGTATGTCTTTGAGCTGCCAGGGACAAAGATATGCCAATGCACAAAAACATATATTCAGCAGAATTTCAGAAGTGTTCTTTTAGTTGCCCAAAAACATCTACTCTCCCTTAAAATATATTTGCCTTTAAATCATGCTCTCAAGAGACAAAATAAACAGTCTTCTTTAAAAGTAACATATGTGATTTTTTCACAAAACTTCATGTATACAGCATACTAATGAATCCAGTTACAATATGAATTAAAGTATTTTCTCTGTGTAGGTAACGCAGGGCATCTTCCTTAGAAACAATAGTTCATAGTCCAATGCAGCCTAATGACTTTTGTATAGCATACTGTTCCTGTATTGAAATGTAAGCTGTACTCACTGCTTCTGTTACAAACAGATGACTTCTACTCTCTCCAAGAGTCTAATGCAGGGGTCCTAAAACTTTTTAAACAGAGGGTCAGGTCACAGTCCCTCAAACTGTTGGAGGGCCGGATTATAATTTGAAAAAAATATGAACGAATTCTCATGCACACTGTACATACCTTATTTGTAGTGCAAAAACATTTTAAAACAATACAATCATTAAAATGAACAATTTTAACAAATATAAACTTATTAGTGTATTGTCGAAGGCTTTCATGGCTGGAATCACTAGGTTCTTGTGGGTTTTTCGGGCTATAGGGCTATGTTCTAGAGGCATTTCTCCTGACGTTTCGCCTGCATCTATGCCAAGCATCCTCAGAGGTAGTGAGGTCTGTTGGAATTAGGACAATGGGTTTATATATCTGTGGAATGGCTGGGGTGGGACAAAGAGCTCTTCTCTGCTGGAGCTAGGTGTGAATGTTTCAACTGACCACCTTCATTAGCATTTGAAGGCCTGGCTGAGCCTGGGAAAATCTTTTGTTGAGAGGTGTTAAGATGTGCCTGGTTGTTTCCTCTCTGCTGTTTTGCTGTTGTAATTTTAGAGTTTTTGGCTACCAGTATTAAAAAACTAAAATTACAACAGTAAAACAGCAGAGATAGTGCAAACAGGGCCCTTTGGGAACCAGGGACTGAGAAATAGGAATGGAAATCCCTATAAGAATCCCTAACAATGATGTGACAAACAAGCAAAATAGAACATGTTTTATTTAATAAGAGGTATCAAAACAGTGGAATATTGTGTCTGTGAAGATGTGTCATGGAAGTGATGTAATCTCAGATTATAATTTCTCCTCATAAATATCATGATTTTGAAGTGCTTGTGGGTTTGGATTTCATAGTAGCACAATCAGTGCATAAAACCCACTGGTTTTCTCCCTTTTCTTCACATTACTTTGGTTTCTTCCTTATAGAGTTATTTTGGCAAAGTTGCAACAACAGTCTATTGCTTGTGCACAAATTTACATAATAAAGATATAAAAACATAGGCAGACATACAGTATATGTGCATGATTAATAAATAGCAGTGAATAAATTAATTAGCAAAAGGTTTTTTGCTTCTGGACTACCATCAAAACAAATAACAATCGGAAAAGGTATGTGACAGGGATGCCCTCTTTCTCCTCTCATATTCATAATGACATTGGAAATATTATTGAAAGATATAAGAGACGATAAAAAACTACCTGCCCCCAAAGTAGGAAAGCAAGCACATAAATTCAGAGCATTTGCGGATGACCTAATTTGTATTATTGAAAAACCGTGAGAAAATATTAAAAACTGGCTGGAAAAAATAGAAGATTATGGGAATCTAGCAGGATTCAAGATAAATAAAGAAAAAACAAAGATTCTAACAAAAAAAATATCGAAGAAGAATCAAGATATATTAAGGGAGGACACAGGAATGCAAGTCTCAGCAAAGATAAAATATCAAGGAATACAAGTAACTGCAAAAAAATGCCCAACTGTTAAAGAATAACTATGAAACAAACTGGAGTGGAATCAAGAAAGATTTCTAAAATTGGAATAATCTAAATCTATCTCTTATGGAAAGAATAGCAGCCATTAAAATGAATGTTCTACCAAAATTCCTATTTCTTTTCCAAAACTTACCGATAATACGAAACAAGAAATTATTCAAAGAATGGAACAAGGAGATTGGGAATTTTGTGTGGAAAGGGGAAAAGCCAAGAATAAAATTTAAACATCTGACAGATGCAAGGCAAAGAGGCGGTTTGGGTCTTCCAGACCTAAGAATATATTATGATGCATGTGGTATGATATGGATAAAAGTCTGAATTTTGTTAAAAAGAGAAAAGGTGTTAGGTCTTGAAGGATTCGACCTTAGAGTTGGTTGGCACGCATATCTGTGGTATAACCAATCGAAGAAAGAAAGAAATTTCAACAATCATTTCATCAGAGGGGCGCTGTTAAAGATTTGGGACAAGTACAGAGATAAATTATATCAAAAGACACCTTTGTGGCTATTCCCACTGCAAGCGAGCCAAAGGAGATTGTTGGGATGGATGAGATGGCCTACCTACAAAGAGATAATAAAAAAAGATGGTAAGATACAATTAAAGATGAAAGAGGAGTTAACCAATGAATTTAAATCACTATGTTGGCTCCAATACTTCCAGTTAAAAGAGTATTTCAACAAAGACAAGATCATAGGATTTTTAGAGAAAGAAGACTTTTGAGAGAAAATACTACAAAAAGATAGGAAGAGTATAACTCATATATATAACAAACTACTGGAATGGGCGACAGAGACCAAATTGGTGAAGGAGTGCATGATAAAATGGGCAAATATTATTGGCAGATCAATAAAATTCAAAGAATGGGAACAGATTTGGTATAAAAAAATTAAATACACATATTCCACAGACTTAAAGGAAAACTGGTACAAGATGTTTTATAGATGGTATATGACACCACAAAAACTCGGACTAATGTATAAAAAACAAGTAATAAATGTTGGAAATGTGAAGACCAAACGGGAACATTCTACCATATGTGGTGGACTTGCCCTAAAGTTAAAACTTACTGGAAAACAATACATGAAACCTGTGAGAAAATACTCCAAACAAAAATACAGATGAAAGCAGAATATTTCTTGCTGGGAATATTCGACGAAGAATTGGGGTTAGACCACAATAAAGACATTTTATTTACTTACTTATCTACCGCAGCGAGAATGACCATTGCTAAAAAAATTAAATTAAAAGAAATACCAATAAGAGAAGAATGGTTAAATAAGGTTAATGATATAAAAGAAATGGATACTTTGACATATGCTTTGAAAGATCCACAAGGACAACCAGTCAAGAGAACCGATTGGATCCCATTTGATGACTTTATGAATAATTTATAAGAAGAGCAAAAGGTTCACCAAAACAAGAAGTAGGCAGAAGGAAATAAAATATGCGAAGAAGGGAGAAACCACAAGAAGAGAATTATATTAAGGAGAAGAAACACGATGCGGAGAAAGAGATTCGGAAGTCAACAACAAATCCCCCCTCCAATATTTTCAACACTGATCCCATCCTTTTTGGCCCTATGTTTATCCCACCCCTTTCGACCTTACATTTCTGTAGGTTTTTTTCCTTTTTTCTTTTTTGTTGTGTTTTTGTTTTCTCTTCCTTTATTCTTTTTTCTTTTAGTATAATTCCCTTCTCTCACTTTACCCCTAGTCTCTATCCCATCCCTTCACCCCTTCACCCTTTTACCCCAAGACTCATTTCCCCAAGTTTTTATCATTGTAAATATTGAAATGCATTTAATAAAAATTATTTATTAAAAAACGTATATGTGCATGATTAATAAATAGCACTGAATAAATTAATTATTAAAAGGTTTTTGCTTCTGCCTTCTATAGATGCCCAGGAGAAAGATGAGTTATATCCAATGTGTGAGTCTTGTGACCTATCCATGAGCCCTAGCTCGTTTGATTGATAGAGAATGAATTAGTTCTGGCATTGAATACTTCCCTTAATCTTTTAATGGCTATATGACTCCAAGGATACACCCTGGAAATAATATGTTATTTATCTGCTTATTTAATTGTTCACTGGCAAATTATGTAAGATGAATGTTTGTGATGTAAAGTTATTTTCTGTCCTAATATCCGAATCCTTCATTTTATTAGTTGAAGCAATCGTGGGACAATTAGCCACAATTTCTATAGAAGCCTGGACTGCAGAGATTAAAATTTTAAGTCTCTTAGATCTTGGACAAAAAAAAATCTCTACAAGTTATCCTGCCAACAGACAATCATGCTGCAAATATTTTTGTTTACATATGTATTCACGTGCCATCTTTGCTGAAATAGGTTGGAGGTGGGTTAGATGAGATTAACTAATACGTTTCAGCTTGATTGAACTATTATGACAGGTGACCCCTCTAAGGAAACAGAGCTAAGAGGACAAGCAGTACATTATGAGAATATTTCACATCTGTTTAAAGGGCTATAGCAGACATATTTATTAGGGCTGGGCGGTTTCGTTCGTTAATTTCGTAATTCGTTATTAATTCGTATTTAAATTAGCTTACGATCCGATATTGAGCCATGCAGGAATAGTGTGAGGAGTAAATTAGATTCGAAACAATTTTTTCAATTTATTTCGTTATTGTTTCGTTATTATTTCGAAATTATTTCGTAATTTTTTTGTAATTATTTCGTAATTATTTTCGCATGTCTGGTGCAAGTTTTATAGTTGTTGTGTGTTTTATCACACCCACAGTCAACAACAGAGGGAGAGGGAAGCTTCAGAAGTTCCCCCTGTCCCATTTGGAGTTTTTTTAGCATATTGCGCAATCGCGTCCGCCATTAACGAATCGATTCGAAATTAACGAAATTTCGTAAATAACAAAATTTTGAAATCTCAAAATTTCGGAAGTATTTAGAATTTGGAAACGCTAGCACCCCCTGGAAACGAATCAAGTTTAGAAACAAATTTTTCCGTGGTTACCCAGCCCTAATATTTATTCCACCCACTCTCCCCCCAAAAATATACTAGCAATTTCAACTGCACTTCCTCTAACTTCCTCATGCAATGCACACAGATGAATAAGCAATAAATGAGACCTATGCACTGGCAAAGTTAGCCTACACAGACCATGTTGAAATTTCATAATTTATGAGGTCCTCATGCAATCATTCCACCGTTGCATTGTTAAAGCACCTCTGTTGAGGCCACCCTATTAATAAAAGGCCACTGCAGCAAGAATCTGAAGCATAAGAGAAAGGGAAGTGTATAATGAGCAGTCAAAGTTGGAACAAGTGCAATCTGCCCCACAAGGATTGATAAGGAAAAATGTGGACTTCAGTGGTTGTGATCCCAACATCATTCTCTTGGCTGTGGAACCAGATCCGTTGGAACAACCTCACAATGTTGTTCATTTCTGCCACTCTGCTTGCTCTTGCCCTGCTGTTGGAGTCTATGACGTGGAGGAAGAGATGTAATCGCTATCCTCCAGGACCTACCCCTCTGCCTTTCATTGGGAACTTGCTGGAGTTTGACAGAAGAAATCCACACAAATGTGTTCTACGTGTAAGTATTGACTTACCCAATTTTCCAAGCAAGGCATCCTATGGAATGACTTAAGGAATTACTGTGTTTAAAAAAGCTCATGCAACATGTCTACAAAATAAAATAATAATTGTACTTCTATGATGCTACGTGTTTGTATGTTTTTTTATCTTTAATCCATTAGATTCCCTCATCGTTATAAAGTCTACATGTGTGTATTTTTGTGTCTGTTAGAATAATATGTGGGTTGGACCTTTTTATTAGCTAACTCAAAAGCATCTCTTAATCCCCATTTATTTAATTTTATTATTTTATGAGTTATATTTAAATTGAAATACCCTGTTAAGATAGTTCCTCCTTCATAAAAAATTGGAGTTTCTGCATAAAATATGAACCCCTTCTGCCCTAGCGAAGCTTTGTAGTCTATTTTTTTTAACATTTGACACCAGTTTACGTTTAAAGATATTATCTTAATAATACTCATAATCATTTGGACCAAGTTTTATTTTGTGTACATGTGAGCTATTTTTATTTATCCTTTAGTAGTTTCCCCCTCCCCTATAAGGTAGAGACCTTGTGTTTGGGAGAAATTCTCCTGCCTCTCCTTGTACATTTGATTCCTGTGCTTTCGAAAGACCCCCTCCCCCCCCCACGCTTTCTTAAACATTCATTATCAAACTATACACATTTTCAGCCCAGCCACCCAAACACCCTTTCCCTTTAATTCTGTCAAATTATACCAATAAATACTGATTATATGATTTATATCACAATTTAACTCATTAAGTATTTCCCTTGAACCATCCTGCCAGCTCCCCCCCCCCCCCCCGCCGCTTTTTTTTATAAAAAAAATTGCAAAGCAAGTCCTTCCAGAAGAGCCTTCTTCTGGATCCTCTTCCACCTCCATGCTGCTTTGATCTTGAGAGCTCATTTCTTTGGCAATTTCTTTGGCAATTCCCAGCTGCACCATCAGTTTTTCTCCTTCTTCCAGATTCCTTGCTTTGTACCTCCTCCTGTCCTTGAAGATAATAATTGTTGAACGATAGGCCCAAGATAATCACATTTCTTTTTTGAACAGTCTCTTAATGAAAGAAGCATTTTTTTCCTTTTTTTAAAAAACAGTCTCTGAAGAAAATTCTTGTTTCACTTTAATCTTACTGTCCTTAAACTTCAAGTCATTTATCTTCTTAAGTTCCCTGTAAATAAAGTCATTCATCCTCTCAGTTGTAAAAGCAACAATTATCTTTCTTGGATATCCAACACTCGCCCCAGTCTATAAATCATGTGAGCCTGCTCAATGTCTGTCCCATTAATTGGTATATTTAAACTTGTAAGCCAACTTGCCAGATCCCCCCCCCCCATGTCCTTTGCTTGACATTCTCAGGAATTCCAGTTTCAGATTATGTCTCCTTAATCAGTCCTTCTGTTGAGCCAAACGTCTTTTCAGCTGATTTATTTTAGTTTCTTTTCCTCTGATTTCTTCTGGGCTGCAAGGGCAGGGTTTGTTTGTTTTTTTTGCCACCCAAGTTTCCTCCTTTGTCTTCTCAATTTCATTCTGAAGCAATCGAATATCACTTCTAATATTCTTCTCTACCGAGGCTAGAGAGTCATTAATTTCCATGCTCAGTTAACAAAGACTACACATCATCTTTCTATCTTTTCAGGGCACCTGTTCAGATAGAGAGTCGTCTCTTTCGAGTTATGGATCGGTCTCCTTCAGAAGTCTTGACCTTTCGGTGCCTTGCAATTAAGAATAGCAGAGTGACTTCTTATTTTGTCTTCTTAGCCTTCGGCTGAGCTGTAAATCTAATGTTTAGCAGAGAGGAATAATCAGGCATTTTGTTACTCCTTACGCATGTGCATGGGTCCTCCAAGTCATCCTATTATCAACTGTTCCACCTTCACCTTTACACTGTATCAATATTGCTCCTTGACATCAATCCTTTCTGAGGACACTTCTATATGTTGATTCCCCCCTTTCCCAGTTTACACTGTTAGATTGTATTCTTTCTTATGCACATATAACCTAGTAGGATGTGTGTGTGTGAATAAATGGTTCAAATTTCCATACTATACTTCTAACACTAATACGTGTGGATTCCTGGCCCAGCACTTCCAATTCTCATTTACTGGGCAGCAAGATTCTCCAACTTCTAATTCTAACACTATCCAAAATCAGGGCACACATTTCCAAGAAAGTAAATTATTTCATAGATGTGGACATTACTCAAGCCAGAATTTAATGAGTTTTCATCTTTCCCAGAAAAAGAATTAGCACTCTGAGAATCGACTCCTAATCCAATATGCTGCCCATCCCATGATGTGCTTTTCAGTAGCTTCTTGTGTGCTGATGACACTGCTTTTGTCTTGTGTGTGGCTGCTTGGACCACTCATTCTTGCTTCCCTCGTGTATGAAATTCATGATTGAACTTTCTCATACACTCACAAAACTGACTGCAGAGTGACCACATTTCTTCCATACTGTATGTTTGAAAGCTAAAAACTTATTCTTTTTTGTTTTTTACTGAAAGCTTGAGATCTCTGTCAAATGATGGTCCAAAATGGGCACCAGGTGACATGTTTAGAATGTGGGGCGAAATTCAGCTATTCAGGTGGGGGAAAAAAACCCAACATAAGCTGAATTAGAAATGGAAATCATGCAGCTCTCCAAATGTTGTTGGGTTGCATTTAATTGTTGGGATGGATTTAGAGCATAGAGAGTAAATATGACTATCTAAATCAGTGGTTCCCAACTTTTTTAAGACCAGGCCCAATTTGACCAGGGGCCATTTGACAACATTAATACCAAAAGGGACAGAGCTGGTCAGGTCTGCAGAATGGAGTGGAAATAAAATAAAGAAATAAAGAGGAAGGAGGTTATTCTCACGATTTTTGTTCATCAGTGGGCTGCAGACCACAGGTTAAGAATCACTGATCTAAATGAACTGGCCTCAGAAAGAGGAGGTGTTACCTAATGAGGCTTTAATTATTCTGTCATTTATAGGTTATTGATATCACTGCAGAGTTTCTGGATATAGTTGTCATCCAGAATGAGTTCCTCTGTCTTTCTCTATTGTTTCCCCCCTTGTTTCCTCTTTTTGTAGTTGAGCGGGAAAGATAAATAGCAATGACTTTGCTGGTAGGGATAGGAAACGATGTGATTCAACAAGGGAAGGTAGCTTTAGAAAAGGCAGATGACATTCTATGAAATTTCTGTCATTTCTCTTTCTCTTTAAATTAATATTGAAATTATCTTTGAAAAGGGATTCTAAGTTTAATATATATTCTATCCTTTGTGTTTTACAATATATACTGGTTTCAACTTCTCTGTGTTTTTCTTCTGTATTTTAAATTGATCCCCCACGGTTTTCTTTCTTTTTTTCTTTTTTTCTTTTTTTGTCACAGCTGGTGGAAAGATACGGACCAATCTTATCAGTCCAGGTTGGATGGAAAAAAATTGTAATACTTAGTGGGTTCCAGACAATAAAAGAGGCACTGGGACAAAAAACTGAGAACTTTGCAGAGCGATCATCAATACCCTTGCTGAGCATAATAGGCCGTGGAAAGAACTGTGAAGGTAAATCTTCCTTATGCTGTGATGGAATTAACTATATATGGTAAAGCAAAATGATTGACAAGTCCATAGCTAAAAATTGGTCTTTCCATAGCAATATTGGTAGGCACATAGGTGGTAACAAGGTGGCAACTGTCATCAGCAAGAGCAATATGACTTATAGCACAGGGAATGACAAGAGTTGATGCATGACTGCTGCTCTTGTTGACGCAAAAAATTAAGAGTCATCTCTAACCTGACATTTGGAATATTAGAACAAAAACACAGAGATGATTTTCAAGAAAATGTTCCCTAAATTATTTTATGTCTTTTAGGAATCATTATGGCCACAAGTGACAATGGCTGGAGGGAACAGAAACGATTCTGTGTCTCCAACCTGAAAAAACTTGGAATGGGGAAGAAAACACTTGAAAAGAGAGTGTGTGAAGAAGCTGGATATTTGTGTGCTGAGTTGAAATCTCAAGAAGGTACAACTTATTCTTGTGGACAAAGGGAATTTATTTATTTATTTATCGTGTCAGAAGCAACCAGACAGTTGTATTACATTTTTAACAAAACAAACAAACAGAAAAAACACAGAGTTTGCAAGCTTGGTAGTTGATTAAATGTCCTTTGACCAGTATCTGGCCACTTGGAGTGCCTCTGGTGTTGCTGCAAGAAGGTCCTCCATTGTGCATGTGGCAGGGCTCAGGTTGCATTGCAGCAGGTGGTCAGTGGTTTGCTCTTCTCCACACTCGCATGTCATGGATTCAACTTTGTAGCCCCATTTCTGAAGGTTGGCTCTGCATCTCGTGGTGCCAGAGCACAGTCTGTTCAGCGCCTTCCAAGTCGCCCAGTCTTCTGTGTGCCCAGGGGGGAGTCTCTCATTTGGTATCAGCCATTGATTGAGGTTCTGGGTTTGAGCCTGCCACTTTTGGACTCTCGCTTGCTGGGGTGTTCCAGCGAGTGTCTCTGTAGATCTTAGAAAACTATTTCTTGATTTAAGTCGTTGACGTGCTGGCTGATACCCAAACAAGGGATGAGCTGGAGATGTCTCTGCCTTGGTCCTTTCACTATTGGCTGCTACTTCCCGGCGGATGTCAGGTGGTGCAATACCGGCTAAACAGTGTAATTTCTCCAGTGGTGTAGGGCGCAGATACCCCGTGATAATGCGGCATGTCTCATTAAGAGCCATATCTACTGTTTTAGTGTGGTGAGATGTGTTCCACACTGGGCATGCATACTCAGCAGCAGAGTAGCATAGCGCAAGGGCAGATGTCTTCACTGTATCTGGTTGTGATCCCCAGGTTGTGCCAGTCAGCTTTCACATGATATTGTTTCTAGCACCCACTTTTTGCTTGATATTCAGGCAGTGCTTCTTGTAGGTCAGAGCACGGTCCAGAGTGACTCCCAGGTATTTGGGTGTGCTGCAATGCTCCAGTGGGATTCCTTCCCAGGTGATCCTCAGAGCTCGGGATGCTTGTCTGTTCTTGAGATGAAAAGCACATGTCTGTGATTTAGATGGGTTAGAGATCAGCTGGTTTTCCCTGTAGTAGGCAGTAAGAGCACCTAGAGTTTCGGAGAGCTTCTGTTCTACCATCTCAAAGCTCCGTGCTTGAGCGGTGATGGCACGATCATCAGCAAAGATGAAACTCTCTGTCCCTTCTGGCAGTGGCTGGTCATTTGTGGAAAGGTTGAACATGGATGGAGCAAGCACGCTCCCCTGAGGCAGGCCGTTCTTCTGTTTCCGCCATCTGCTTCTCTGGCCCTGGAACTCAACAAAAAAACTCCTGTTTTGTAGCAGATTTCCTGTGAGGCAGCTGAGGTGGTAGTCCTTTGTGATATTCTGCATTTTTTTCAGGAGGAGGCGGTGGTTCACAGTATCATAAGCTGCTGACAGGTCTATGAAGACAGCTCCTGTGATCTGCTGCATTTCAGAGCCATCTTCTATGTGCTGAGTCAGGTTCAGCACTTGCGATGTGCGGCTTTTGCCTTTCCTGAAGCCAGCGTGCTGTGGAATCAGACAAGGGGAAGATTTTGGGTGACTCTAAGAAAAAAACATTGTTCTTATACCTATGCTAAAAATTAGGGAAGATAATTATGATTTTGAGTCATTGTGATGAGGAAGGATGCCACATATGCTAGATGGTATTGACAACAAAGGAAATTATGGAAAATGCTAAAATGAAGAGCTTCTTAAAGCTTTCCCCCCAAAAAAGTGAATGTCTGTGAAAGTTAATAATGGAATTGAGGTCCATGCTTCCTTGTTTGGATTTGTTGTTGGGATTATGCCTGAATAATACTTTGTTGTTGTGGAATCAGTTCACCAAAAACTCTTGGGAAGTGATAGCATAACTCGTATTTGTTGTTCTTTATCTCATATAGGTTTTCCTTTTGATCCACATGACTTCATCTACACTGCAGTTGGCAATATTACCTGTACATTAGTATTTGGTGATCCCTTTGACTATCACAGTAAAAGCTTCCTATCGCTTATGCATTTGACTGAAGAGATCATGCAGGGAGCAACCAACATCTTGCCTCTGGTATTTTTCTGAGTTTAATTGATTAAAGGGGAGTGGCTACTTGAGATCTGGCTGATGAACAAGCGAGACACCCGGGTCATCAAAGTGGCCTGTCTGAATCAGTGTTTCACCACTGTCAATACATAGATACTAACTAGTTCTTTGGGAAAGATTCGGGGATTTATTTGTTTATTTACAGCATTTGTATTCCAACCTTCTCACCCCGAAAGGGACTCAGGACAGATCGCTCGCACACATGCACATACACGGCAAACATTCAATGCCATTTTAGACATACAGGACAGACAAACAGATAGAGGTATATTGGCATTTTCCAGCTTCGGCTCCTGGAAGTTATGCTCAATTCCGGCCACGGGGGGGGGGGGGGGGGGGGGGGGGTGTCGCTCCATCCACAATGACAATGAGTTCTTTGATCACAGACTTTTTCCTCCTTGTTGTTTGATTGCTGACATTTTATGGTGCTGTAAAATACCTCCCAGCTTAAGCAGTACCTAATTTCTCTACTCACAGCTCAGCTGTTTTCAAACTGCTTAGATGGACACCGAGCTGGACTGACGGTTGGGTGCTCACTATGACTCTGGCCTCAAACTGCCAACCTTCAGGCTGGCAATGATCTATTGCTGCTGGTGATTAACCAGCTGTGATAAAGTCTGGGATTCTGAGGACTTAGACACAAACAGGTAATGACTGTCATTACTGCGTGTCTCTCTGGATGGATCTACACTGTCCTATATCCCAAGATCTGATCTACTTTGAACTGGATTATATGATAAACAGATAACCTGAGATCAGAACCTGAGAGACAAGGCAGCCTCTGTGGAGTCAGGAAACACAAGCATCAACGCTGACATTCATTCCAAGACAAGGGGCAATTTGAATGGGTGCTTTTGATCAGTTTTTTTTAAAAAAAGTAGACACTTTATCTGGCTTTTTAATATAGTTTAGGCATTAGTATTGTCGTACGAATACATTGTATCCTCCACCATATTTTAAACTAAATTGTATTCAGAGATAAAGAAAACATAGTAAACACAGTAAAAGAGAAGAAATACTATAACGCAAAAGAGCAGATTTTATAATATATGTTTATAGTCACTAAAACTAAACTGCTGTCTAACTAGCCATTACAGCAGAGCTTTCCAAACATTTAAGTTGGTGACACACTTTTTAGACATACAGCATTTTGTGACATAGTAATTGAGTTTTACTAGCAAACCTGAGCTTAAACCAACCCCTTATAAAATATATGTACACATACATACATTTTGATAATGGAATTTATGGGAATAAGGTAAGCATCCCGAATCCCTCCAGGGAGATGGGGTGGGGTATAAATAAAGTTTAGTAGTAGTAGTAGTAGTAGTAGTAGTAGTATACAACATCTCTCATGAAAACCTTTTATTTACATTTGGAAAAATATATGATTGCTTATTTCACATAGATATTTACATATCTCACCTACACAATGCAGATGATACATAAATTGGTTGCAACATACAGTTTGGAATGCTCCGCATCACAGCCTATTACAAAACTAAAGCCCTTTCTACATTACCTTATACCGCAGGATCTGATGCCAGATTAACTTATTCAAACAGGATTATAACAGTCTCTGCTACCAGATAATTTGAGATCAGATCCTGAGATATAGGGCACCATGGAAGGGGCCTAAATCAAAGGCAACACACAAACCTAACACAAAACTACATTAATGTGCACATGCTAACCTATAAACAATTAGTTCTACCAACTGCTCTATCTCACCCCGAAGGGAACTCAGAGCATCTTACAATTTTGGCAATAATTCAATGTCACATTACAGTACCAATTTATTTATTGACCACACTTGTACCCCACCCTCCTCACCCCAAAGGGGACTCAGAGAGCCTTACAAAGGCAACAATTTGATGTCACATATACATATACATATTGATAAATAAACCAAGCAAACAAATACAACACATTTAGCATTAAAAACAAAATAAAAATATAAATACAATTAAAACTGCTGAAACATAGCAACTAATCCCACAATCTTCTCCATTCTGCTTTGCTTATGTTGATCCTTTAAATGAATAGCGCACTGTGGTTGTGCTACTCCCCAAATGTCTGGTTCCACAGCCAGGCCTTAACCTTTTTTTCTGAACACTAGGAGGGAGGAGGCCGATCTAATATTGCTGGGGATATTGTTGTAAAAAAGTAGTAACAGTAACAAATTAATAAAAGTAACAAATCCCAATCTTTCTTGAAGCCCATCAAAGATTACAGCTTAATCATCATAATCAGTTTGTCCATCTCGACTAATCCACAGGTCTTGGTGAAATATTAATCTATGTGCAGAATCGTCTATGTGCAGTTCTCCCAATGGATAACTGTTCCATTCCATTTCTGCACATGATGATTCTCACTGCAGTTATCATATATTGTAGTAATCTTCCATGTTTTCTTTCTACTTGATTGTCCAACATTCCCAATAAATAATACTCTGGTTTCATCATGATTTTTACCTTAACAATTTTGTCCAGCATCCTTATGTATTTGAGTCCAGTATTTTTTACAGCATCCTATGTATTTAAGTCCAGCCTTTTTGCAAGACCACCACATATGTTAAAATGGCCCAATGTTTTTTTCACATTTCCACTATTTACTAGAACTGTCTTGTACATCTTAGAAAGTCTCTCTGATATGTGATCCTCCAGAACAACATTGATTATAATGACCTATGCTAGTGGAGATTGGGATGGAAACAGGGATAAAATAGGTCCTATGTCAAAAGTGTTACACAAATGCGTTATTATACAGATTGCCATCATCATCATTAACAATTGTAACGGTGGTGTGCTGAGGAAAAGAATAAGGAATGGGAATAAAATGTAGATAAAGATGCTCTGCAATAATGATGATGATGATGATGATGATGATGATGGATGATGATTTATTTATATTCCACTCCATCTCCCCAAAGGGACTCAGGGCAGATAGTATGAAGTAGTAAATATTTAAAAACTTTCTCCCACCATGCAATGTATTTTCAGCAAAATATCTGATAAATATCCCATTTCAGGAAATACACTCATGTACTTTTTTTCCTTCTTTTCATTGATATATCAGTTTTTTACTTATACATCCTGGTTCTCCTATCTTCCTGGACCTCAACAAAAATTGAAGAAAGACTGGGATGATTTCAGTACAATTATAAAAGAGATTGTGAATGAACATAAGAAAACGAGAGACACCAACAATCCAAAAGATTTGATTGATGCGTTTTTGGAGGAGATCGAAAAGGTAGGAAAGTTTTTATGGAAAAGACTGTCCGTCATTTGTATAACTTAAAAAAAAACAGCAACCTATTGATAAAAGACTTGAATTATAGTGTCACAGTCAAAAAGTGAACATTATAACCAGAACAAGCAGGTGAGGAGGGGAAATAGTTTCTAGTGCTCTACTAAGAAGATTTATTTGATAGTATGGGTTGCTGATTCACAAATATGGGTCACTCTGTACCTGTACCACATATTTGTGGAAATGTATAGAGCTAAACTATCCTCTTGGCAAGAATCCTGTTCTGCCATTGTCCATGCTTCAGTATGCTTCCCATTTAATTCAGTATGCTTCCCATTTAATTAATAAAGTGTTTTTATGTAATAATGGGGAGGAGAGAGGGTTGTACTGTTTTAATATTAATATATAATTGTATGCTGATGTTTTTAGGTTAAGCCGCTTTGAGTCTACTGCAGGAGAGATAAAGTGGGGTATAACAACAACAACCACAACAATAGTGTGACTTCATATATGATCTCTCAAAGAAGCAGTTACTGGGAGGCAACTCGTACCTTTGCTGGCTAGGCCACAGCCTTCAAAGTCAGTAAGACAGCCTCCGTGTTAGTGAGGGAATACAATGAGAGTCAGATCAGCAGAGGGGAGGAGCTTAGCTATCCCAGGATTGGCTAGGACAGATGGGAGGAGCTGGAGCTGTGAGTGTAAAAAAGGCAGGCAGCTTCTGACAGAAAAAGAGATTGGATTTTTGATCTGAAGGGAGTGGGTGGATTTCGAGTTAGCTGAAATTTTCCTGAGGAAGAGTGTTTGAAGGCAGGTGTGGCTATAGAGAGTGGCCTGGAGGGTCGATAGCCGCCTGTGAACTGGTGTGGATGTTAACACACTAGTTGTTTTTACTCTCTAAGGGACAGGGTATTCTACAGAAGCTAGATACTCTGAGGGGACAGACAGGATTGGTCTGTCAGAGGAAATTTGCTCACGTTGAAGAAAAGATGCCCAGTTGGGGAGTCCAGCAAGCTTGTTAGGACTCAGAAACTGTTTGAGAAGATTGTGCTGTGATAACCATATACGCTTGTGTAACTCTAAGAAGAATTTAGTTGTTTGTTCCAGTATTTAAATAAACTGTGTTCTAGTTCAACTTTCAATAGAGTCTCCACATTGATTCATTCCATTAGGTCTGTTCCAGTAAATTCTAACATCTTTTTACCTCAGACACTTTAAAGCAGTGGTCCCCAAACTAAGGCCCATGGGCCGGATGCGGCCCGCCAAGGGCATTTATCCAGCCCACGTGGCCTGGCCTGGCCTGGCGGAAAGCCCCTCTCTCTCCCTCTGGAGCGGCTTCAGGCGGGGTCGCACCGGACCAGGCTTCTCCCTCTTTCTTTCCTTCCTTCCCCTTCCCCCTTTCTCTCCCCTTCCCCTTCCTTCTCCTTTCCCCTCCCTCCTTCCCCCCCTTCATTTCCTTCTTCCTTTCTTCCTTCCTTCTGTGTGGGAGGGGAGCCAGCCCGGGGAAGCCAGCGTTGCCTGGCCACACCCACCCGGCACCGCCTCCGCTTGTTCTCCTGGCGCAGCTGGGAGGGGAACAGGAGGCCCCGGCTGCAGATCTTCTTCTGCTGTGCTCTCTTGTTCTCCGTGGCCACGAGACGCCACCTGCTTCCCTCCCAGCCGTGCCAGGAGAACAAGCGGAGGCAGCGCCTGGCCCGGTGTACCACGGAGAGAAGGAAGAAGGAAGGAAAGGAAGGGAGGGAAGGAGGGAGAGGGAAGGAGAAGGAAGGGGAAGGGAGGGAAGGGAGGGGAAGGGGAGAGAAAGGGGGAAAGGGAAGGAAGGAAGGAAGGAAAGAGGGAGAAGCCTGGTCCGGCCAAGTTTGGTCCAGATCCAACATTGTTTGAGTCCACAGTGATCTCTGGATGTAGGTGAACTACAACTCCAAAACCAAAGGACACTGCCCACCAAACCCTTCCAGTATTTTCTATTGGCCATTGGAGAACTGTGTACCAAGTTTGGTTCCATTCCATCGTTGGTGGGGGGGGGGGGGGGGGGGAGGTTCAGAATGTTCTTTGATTATAAATCCCAGGAACTACAACTCCCAAATATCAAAATCAATTTTTTGAGTGAAGGACATACATTGGGTTGTTAAGTGTCCAGTGTTTTTTTATTTCTGTTAATCCCATAAATGAACATTACATTTTTATTTATATAGATTTGTTTCCTATATTTATACCCTGCCCTTCTCCCCCTGAAAGGGGACTCATGCTTACATATTCCAAAAAACCACTTTCAAAACGACAGAAAATATATATTTTTTCCTCATTTTCATTGGAACTATTTTATTTTCAGAAATGCTAAAGCTATCTTTTTCTATGTATTCCTATATTGCTTTCAGCAGCCCATGGTTGGGTATGTGTAGAGTTCTCCTTTTATTTATGGCGGCCCCATGAATTTAATAGGGTTTTCTTTGAGAGGAAATACACAGAAATATTTTTGTCAGTTTCTTTCTCTGAAATAGAGCACCTGCTATTCATTTGTGGCTTCCCATCCAAATACTAACCAGAACTGGCCCTGCTTAGCATTTAAGATCAGGGACATTTAATCTTTCATTGACTTTGCCAGGTATTATTCTTCTGTACAGTCGTCTCTGTGACCCCTGTGACCCAACTTGTACAGGCAGTCCCCAAGTTACAAACAAATTATGTAGTTTTGTCCTCACTGAGGGCTGAACAGTAAACATATTCATGGATTCCCTGCTGTTATATTAAGACTGTTACACATGCTGTGACATGCTTGAAATCAAAATTTCATTTATTTGTAATTAGAAATAAATATTTCACAATGTATATTACATATTGTTTTTGTGATTAATCACTATGCTTTATGTTCAGATTGTAACAATAAAAATACATCCTGCATATCAGATATTTACATTACGATTCATAACAGTAGCAAAATACGACATGTGCACTGTGCATAGGAATTTGGTCATTGTTTTTTTTAAAAAAAACAAAAACAAAACTATAGTCCGGCCCTCCAATGGTCTGAGGGACAGTAATCTGGCCCCCTGTTTAAAAAGTTTGGGGACCCCTGCTTTAAAGGGTATAAAGGAAGGGCTGGGGAACAACAAGCTTTACCTCAGGCATAACATCAAGATAAATTCTCAAATCTATTTGAGTGGTGGCAATAATTCTACCAATACACATTCACGTTTCCTCAACACACATCGAGCTTTGTGACAGGATTGTGTTGGTGTCCAGTTGGAGCCTTAGAAAATAAAATCCTTTACTCTGTGAGCAATATAACAGCTGAAGGAATGCGTGAGTGTGTGTACTAGGGAATATATTAGTTAAGTATTATTCCCCTGGGCCCTGGCTTCGTTACATTTGGTGGCAGCGGTGGGATTGAAAGGTTCCCCCTGTCACACATGCGTTAAGGGACCCCTCATTCCTTTAGACCTCGTTACAACAGGTATGGCCCATGTGTTGATGGCCTTGATGGTATTGCCTCCATTGAGCTTGCTTTTGAGAATTTTTCTGACCCTTTGAATGTATTCCAACCAACTCATGTTGTTTCACAAGTCCAACATTTCATTGCTTCTCTTTCTTTCATTAAAGCTATACTCAATAAATTTTCCCCATATTTTCCAAAACCCTGTTTGTTTCCATATTACGTTTTTAATTTTAATATTGCAAGTTAGCTTATCATTAATAGCTATATTCCAAATTTCCATATACCATTCTTCTAAATGAATTTCCTTTTTTTCCTTTCCATTTTTTTGCTATTAGCAATTTTACTGCCGATATCAAATTTGAAACCAATACTTTCCCCTCTTGTGAGGGAATTGTATTGTCATGCATAAGTAATAATGCTGATTTTGGTGTAATCTCTATTTCTATTTTTATTATTGCTCTTATTTCTTTAAATATCTTTTCCCATTTTTTTTTGGTATAATTTTACAGGACCACCACATATGACAGCCTCTCCAACACTGATTTGAGTATTTTTTTTAATCAGTTTGATTTAATCTACTGGGAATTAGATACCATCTCCATACTGTTTTGTAGTAATTTTCCTTAAATCTTACAGACATATTTTTTAGTAATCTCATATTCCATATCCTTGCCCATTCTTGATTATTCACTTTTCCCCCCAAGTCTGCTTACCATACTTCCTTCAAATGAACTTACCCCTTTTCATCTATTAATAATAGTCAGGGGCGGCTCAACCCATTACGCAAAGTAAGCATTTGCAGTATAGTTTATTTTGCCCAGGGGCGCTCTTAAGGCGCTCTTGGGGGAAAATAGACCTTGACATATGCAAGTTGTAGTTACTGGGATGTATAGTTCACCTACAATCAAAGAGCATTCCGAACTCCACCAATGATGGAATTGAATCAAATATGGCACACAGAACTCAACGAACAGAAAATATATATCAGCGATTGGTTGGGGGGGGGGGCGCCAAAATACTGTTTACCGTTGAAAATTACCTAGGGCCACCTCTGATAATAGTTTATAGATATCACTAACTGTGCCTTTTAATGATACATTATCTTCTTTAATCTCCCTTTGAGTTATCGTATTTTCTATTTTTGTATATTCCCTACCCACATTATACTTTTTTCTTATATCACTTGACCATTTACCCAGTTGTAGATACTTGTACCAATCTAAGTCTCTTCCTCTTAATTCCTCTTTTATTCTTTCCATATTTACCATTTTCAAGTCCCAGTCTTTTACTTTCATTAAAACTCTTCCATTACATCCTGCTTCAAATTCTTCTTTCAGATTTGCTGGGAAGTTTTCTGTCATTAGAACTGGCATGATAGAAGAAATATCTGGCATTAGGGTTTTTTTATATCTCCCCCCAAATCTCCAAAATATATACTATACAAAATCCCCATACACACACACTTACACACACACACTTATACACTTGTAAATTCAACCTGTTTTCACCTGTGTAAATAAAAAAAAATTATTTTCCTTTTACCCTTTCTTCTATTACCCCTATAAAAATATGTTGTAATTTCAATTTTAATTTTTTATCGTCTGTCTTCTTCCAACCACTCCAAGCTTTTTTGCTTTGCTAAGATTTCTACTATATATCTTATTTTATTGGAATGATAATATAGCTTGAGCTTTGGTAGTCCAAGACCTCCTTCTTTCTTTAGTTTATACCATAAGTTTTTTTGTTCACATTACAATAAAGATTTAACATGTTTTGCCAGTTTTTTATTACTTGATCTGAAATTTCTACAGGTAGCATTCTGAATTTTAAAAAATGATTTGGGAAATATCTTCATTTTAACTAATGCTATCCTACTGAACCATGATAATTTGAGTTTGTTGTATTCCGATAATTTCTTATTAATTTCCTTTCTTAATTTGGTTAAATTGTTTATTTCTAGGTTTTTTTAAAAAAATTCTTTAGTTATATTTTTTCCTAAATATTAATTGTTTCTTTAATTTTTATTTTCCCCTCCTATTTTTATCTCTTTTTCCCGATAGTTAAAAAAATCATTTCTGATTTGTTCCGATTAATGTGTAAACCTGTTATTAATCCAAATTCTGTTATATGAGCATCCATTTTCTCCCATTGTTTTATTAGATGTTCTATTGATAAAAGGGTATCATCTACAAACAAATTTATTTTATATTTCTCTTTTATTCCTATTCCTTTTTTTACTACTATCTTCTTTTATTACATTAGCTAATAGTTAAATTACAACTGCAAATAAAATTGGGGAAAGGGAACATCTCTGCCTTGTGCCTAGTGTTATATTTATTTTCCCCATTAAACCATCATTCACCATTACTTGGGCATAATTTTTTGAATATAATTATCAATTAGGTTCCTAAATTTTTCTCCAAATCCAAATTTGTCTAGTATCAATTTCATTGTCTGCCAGGATATACTGTCAAATGCCTTATAAATATCCAAAGCTAATACTCCAGCCACTAAACGTCTTTTTTGATACTATGAATTATGCCCTAATACTCTACCCATTAAATTTGACATTTACCTTCCTCCTATAAATCCACACTTATCCTCATTGATATCTTTATATATAAATTTATTCATCATTTTAGCCAGTATGGCCATTAATATTTTCACATCTTTGTTTATTAATGAGATGGATCTGTACAATCCTGAGTCTATAGGGTCTTTGTTGGATTTTAAAATTAAAGTGATCAATGATTGTTCCCATGGTGGTGCATTTTTTCTCTTTTTATTATTCTATTATATAGATCCTTTAATTTAGGTATCAATACTGTTTTATATTTTTTTTGTAATATTCTGGTCCCAACCTATCCATTCCTGGGGTCTTAAATTATCTATAATTTCCTCCATCTCTTTCTCTAATATTGCTTGATCCATAATTAATTTGTCTGTTTCTTGATTCTTTATTTTCCAATGTTATACTCTTCAACTTTCTTTCTAGGTCCTTCATTTGCTGTATATAGATCCTCTCAAGGATTCTATATTAAATTTGTATTTTCCCCTCCAATTTGTTTATTTTTATTTCTAAAGTATTACTTATTCCAGTATAAAGGTGAAAAATCTATTCAGATCTAGATCTAGATCTATCTATCTATACCCAATTATCTTCATTGTTATTGTTACAATTCTAATCCTCCACTTTTTTATCCAATTAATCAAATTATTCCTTTATATTTCTTGTTGTTATTATTGCTTTTTCTTTAAGTTTATTAATTAGGATCACTGTCCATACAGTACTTATTTTCTACGTGTTTTCTTTTTGTTTCTTCTTTTTTTCTTTTCTTCATTACTTCTTTGCTTAATCCTTTTGTTTCTCTTTATCTTGAGTTTCTTCCTTCTTTTCTCTCTTTTTTCCTTCTGCGTTTCTCAACTTTCCATCCAGGGAGTATTGTGATTCTTCAAATAATTCTTCAGGTAGTTTCATTCCTTCTTCGTGGATGTTATATGTAGCTTTTCCCCATGTATCTAAATTTCAGGAAGATAGGGTATGCTCATTTGTACAATATACCCTTATCATGGAGGATTATGGTACAAGGGTGCATTATCTTTCTCCAGCTCACTGTTCCTGGACATAAGTTCTGAAACATTTGTATTTTACTTTCTTGCATTGTTTATGAAGTGGATTGGTTCCTGGTAGCTTGCATAAATTGATCTTTGTAGTAGTAGCTTGAGAATCTTATTATAATATCCTTGGATTGAAGGTTGTTTTCCTGGGTCTAACTGATGAATACAGTCAAACTGAGACTGCTGCTAGTCCTCTTTCATTATTTGCTGAATCCATTTTATTATTGCTTCTTAGATTTTTGAAAATCTCTGCTTTGATTTCTTAGAAGTTTCTGATTCTGACATTCAATTGTCTGTCTCTATCTGCCATTGAAATAAAGCTTAAATCATGTCTGTGGGAAACAATTTGTAGCTGATGTAGATCTTTAGTGTTGGTTGCCACCTGTTGTTCAACTGTTTCAATCTTTGATCCCAGGGAGTACGTCTGCCTTTCTAAAGAAGTTGTTTTGTCAGCCTGCTCAGCAACACCAGATTCTTAATCTTTAATGTGCTTTAAAGAATCATATTTTAATCATGACTTGTTTTCTTCTATTTGCTTTCCGCCAACAATCTATGCAAAGTTGTTGTGATCCTGTCATATTTTGGAATCTTAACTCATTATATTTTCCACCCTCTGGAGCCAGTGAATTTAGTTGCCGTCCATAGAGAAGTGACTCTGGTCCTCATCTGTGCCAAGTTTTGATTTAATCAATGTTAAAAGATGAATTAATCCATTTTAAAAGCATTCTCTCTCTCTCTCTCTCTCTCTCTCTCCCTTTCCCACTCTTTTTCTATTCCTTTCTTTTGGCTCCTTTTCTTTCCTCAAGTATGCATTGCCACACCAATAAATACATAGCTGTATGTCACAAATATGAGCATTATGCAGCACTGTACCATTTACATTTTCATTGTCTATTTCTTTAATGTCCTTCAGGCTGAAGGGAACACAGAGACCAGTTTCAATGAACAAAACCTCATTCAACTTCTTCTTGACATATTTGCAGCAGGCATTGAAACCACATCTGCCACCCTCAGCTGGGGGATTCTTTTCATGGTCCTTCATCCTGAAGTTCAGAGTAAGTAACCATTCTCAACGGAAATGGGCATCCTGATAGATCAGTCATATAAAATATTATTTTCCCAAGAAATATATATATATATTCCTCTACTCAGAAATAAATCATACTGGTTTATAGAGTGGTTATTGTCACAAATATTAATAATTAATTAGATATATTTTTTTACAATAATGTGAATCAAGCACTGAAAGAGCTAGTAGGTCAAAGCCTGTTAGAGTAAGTGGGCCAAAGCTAGCGTCGCCCTGAGGAGAGTGAGTAGGCTGATCTCCTACTCACTCTTCTGATCTCTATGTGAGGAGGCGTCTGTGTGAGTGGCTTTGGTGAAAGAAGACCTAGGTTAAAGGCCTTGTTTGAACTGCTGTGTGTAAAGCTACTATGTGTTTGTTCATTCATGTTGTGGAAACCTTGTTATTGTAAATAATGCAACTATACTATTTTACTACAAAAAGCCTCATATGGAAGAGATAACATTGGTCAGTGTGTTTTTGTTCTTTTTACCACTTTGGGCTACTGGTGCTGGGTCACGCTGCTGCTGCTGCTCGCGAATGAGTTGCTCTGCTGTACATTTATGGGGAGGGTCTTTTGTTATTAAGCCCACTCAACCAACACTTGTTCCCAAATTATGGAAAATAGGATCATAGCCTAATAATGCTACATGAATTAACATTTTTAGAAAAAGTCCATGAAGAAATTGATGCAAAGATTGATGGAGTGAAATCAGTCGTGATGGAGGACCGGTCAAATCTACCGTATACTACTGCCGTGATCCATGAAATTCAGCGTTATGCTGATATTGCACCAGTTACATTTCCTTATGAGGCATGCAATGATACTGAAGTTGGCGGGTTTCTCATCCCTAAGGTATAGTGCTTGATTTTTATCTTTTTATTTTTTAAAATCACAGTTGCAAAATCATAGTTTGATTAATGCTTGAGGCCTGTAATGAACCAGAAACAACATTCAACTACATTTCATGACAGCATTAACTAAAAATGCTAGAATTCATACAAGGATATTATATTTATGCATCCATTACAAAGGGAGTATGGCAACACTTAAATATCGACTTCCTTTGTAGTGTTATAGGACATTAGAAAAGCTTAATTAATGCAGAATTGCTTTTGACCAAGAAGTATCACTGAGAGCTTATATATTCGATTGATTGGTTTCTATACCCACATTTCATGGGCTGTATTACATTTGCAGTCTAGCTTTACAGAATGCAGAAAGGTAAGTATAAAGTACAATGAAAACTCCAACTGCACCTGCTGGAGGAGACTGGAATAAATGTGTTTCTTTTGAAAGGCCACAATGAAAGCTTCTTCTTCCTGGGGCCCAAATAGGAGTGAAAAATAATGCACTTGGATCTGATAGTGGTCCCATCTACACTGGTATATAATGCAGTTTGGTAATGCAATTTAACAGCACTGAGCTGCATTATATCATCATCATCATCATCATCATCATCTTTATTTCTACCCCGCTACCATCTCCCCAATGGGGACTCGGTGCAACTTACATGGAGCCAAGCCCGGACAACATAATACAGCAATAAAATCAAAGCATATACATCAGACAACAACAACATTATCAAAATGACATTAAAATAATAAATGATAATAAAAAAATACCAATACACACAATCACGATAGAAATTATATGGCAGTGTACACTCATATAATGCAGTTCAATGCAGTTAAACTGCATTATGAAACTGCATTACATGGCAGTCTCAATGTTCAATGTTAATTGTACACTCACAGCATTATTTTGTGTGTGTGTGTGGTTTACATCGGTGTCTGGGTTTTTGTTTTTGTTTTTGAGAAATAAAACACATGTTTTGGGGTTGTTTTTTTTGTTTGTTTGTTTGTTTTTGCATTTTGTCGATTTTGGCAAATCTGGCAGCCTCAACAGTCGGCCCAGAGCTTCACATGTTTCCCAAATGGCACTCTCCATTCTTGATTTCATATATTTTTAAAAATGGTCAAGCTTTTCCCATGTGAAAAGCTACTATGTATTTGTTTATTCGTGTTGTGGAAACCTTGTTTTGTAAATAATGCAACTATACTATTTTACTACAAAAAGCCTCATATGGAAGAGATAACATTGGTCAGTGTGTTTTTGTTCTTTTTACCACTTTGGGCTACTGGTGCTGGGTCACGCTGTGCTGCTGCTCGTGAATGAGTTGCTCTGCTGTACATTTATGGGAAGGGTATTTTGTTATTAAGCCCACTCACCCAACACTTGTTCCCAAATTATGGAAAATAGGATCATAGCCTAATAATGCTACATGAATTAACATTTTTAGAAAAACTCCATGAATAAATTGATGAAGTGGTTCCCGAATGAAAGCATTCCTTGGGTGGTAGGTGTTTGGGGAAGACATAGGCAGGGGTTGGGCTACACATTCATGATGCTCACTATAACTGCAATGTCAGTTGAGGGAGTGCCTTTGGAGGCTTCTCAGCACTTGGAACTATAACTTGTTTGTGGTTCACACACATACACACATTTTCACTTTTATTGTGTATATAGAATATAGAAAATAGATGTTGACTGTTGTTTGACTTTGTACTGTATTTTAACATGTTTGAAGCCACTTTCCGTCTCCATTGTGGGAGAAGAGTGGCACATAAATAAAGATGATATTATCATTATTATTTCCCAAGCCATTTCAGGTACAAGCTATTTGCCCTCCATTGTTTTCTGCTGATCCTCTGGCTCAAAGGAAAATAAACCTACCAACATAAAGCAGATATCAAATCACTGAAAAAGTCTCTAGAACAGAGCTTCCCAAACATTTTATGCTGGTGCCAAAATGTTTGACAGGCATCATTTCACAACACAGTCATTCAATTTTATTAGCAAATTAGAGGTTAAACCAACCCTTTATAAGAGATAGAGACACAAACATAAATCATGGGGGCCCAACATATCTCATGAAAACCTTTCATTTATATTTTGAAATAAAGGATTTATTGCTTATTTCACAGACTCAGAGGTGCCCTGTTATGTTCACATAACACATCTACAAAGTGCAGGTGACACACTAAGGTGTAGCAACACACGATTTGGAAAGTTCTTCTCTAGAATAGCAAGTCATCAAGGCAATGTGTTTCTACTCCCTTCACAAACTGCTATTTAGAAGGACAATGTTTCCCAAAAACCTCTTGTATCAAAATGGTACTCTGGAAACACAGACAGCTCTTCCTTTTTAATGTAATGTGTTGATTAGATTCCATTGTGACAAAAGAGACATCTGATATTATTACCACACAATTCTAACCTTTTCGTTTCTATCCCATATTAGGACACTGTGGTCCTAAATCATTTGTCTTCTGTGCTGAAGGATGAAACCATGTGGGAGAAGCCACATGAATTTTACCCAGAGCATTTCCTCGATGCAAATGGACAATTTGTCAAGCGAGAAGCCTTCCTCCCTTTTTCTCTAGGTAAATTCAAAAGAAGAATATTTGAGATATAGAGAGGAAAAAATTAAATTGGTACTATGGTAGGTGGCCCACTTTCACGGGATTTAAATGTGAAGCAGGATGTGAAGCAGAAAAATGCAATATTAGTACCTGAGAAAATGCCTCTTTGGGAAATCACCCATAAAGTCACACTAGAAGACAGATTCCTATAGAGATGTTCTTTTTAAGGGCCCTTATACAAAAAACTGAGAGGAAACGGGTTAAAAGGGCAAGTGGCTAAATGATGTATAGCCAAAGTGCGGGAGGAATCAGGAGTCGGTAGAAAACAACTGTTTAAAAGGTGCCCTTTAAACCCGATTCTTCCTGGGAAACATACACTTTTCCATGTCTGTGTATCCCAGCAGTCATGGGAAACATGTGCTTTCCTATCCTCCCCCCCCCCCCCCCCCCCCCCCCAGTGTGGAATCTTCTAAAGGACGCGCATTTCTGAAAAGCCCAAAACAGATGATCAGCTGATCAGCTATCAAACAGAGACACAGAGAAGGCTCAGGGAAGCACACGTGGAAAGTAAATACAATTCTCTCAAATTCTATCTTTTACATTTTGTATTGTTAAACAAAGCTTGACTTAATACTTGGGGAAAGACAGAGATCTGAGGAAAGTTTCTTTTTAAAAAATATTGCATTATGTGCTGGATCTCATATGTGCATATGGACATCCCTGGAGTGAATTTTTTTAAAGAAAATTCTGTTGGATGTCTCCCATATGCCCTCCCTCTTAATCTGCTTCAAAAAGCAGCTGTGAGGGCAGTGGGGGACTATGCAGCAGGACTGACAGGTCTGAGTTTAGACTCCCTTTGAGGTCCCACATTTTAATAAACCACCTCTTTGTCCCATTTTTTGGCTCTGTCTGGAAGTACCCTCAGAATCCCTAGACCTCAAGCCCATCTTTGTGGTCAACTTTCAGTAGAAACTGTGCATAAAATCTCATTGCTGGGCTTGAGATTCCTAAAGAATCTATATTAATCAAATCTGCAATCAAGTACACAAAAGTTAAACTCACAGCAGAGAACCAATTGTATTGATTGCTGTTACAAAAGTTTTAAGATAATGCTATTCAAATTATGAAATCCAGAATATATTTTTTTCATGATTAGTTGCTTTGAGAAGAAAGTATCCTGTATACCATGGTGGTAAGATTGCATCTTGGAGGTGGCATGCGGCACCTGGACCCCACTTTTGTGGCTTCAAAATATCCAAAATGAAACTAAGAGGGAGGATGGGAAATTGATTCTGTAATGTTCTTTGTTTTGTTCTCAGGCACATAATATTCCATTTCTATATTTCATAGGTCGCCACGCTTGCTTTGGAGAACCTTTGGCTAAAATGGAGCTCTTCATCTTCTTCACCAACCTTATGCAACATTTTACTTTTTGCATTCCTGAAAACACCCCTAGACCCTCAGAGGAAAGGATATTTAGATTGACAGTCTTCCCATTACCATACCAGATCTTTGCATTTCCCAGATAATGGTTGAGATCCTGTGATGTTGCACATAACACAATATTTTGGCACATGGAATTGCCCTATAGCTTCCCCGTCACCAGCCCTGAGACTCACCCTGCCATTCTGATAGACCTTCCCCCAGCTATTCCATTATTGGGAAAGAATGGGGAGGATCTGAGAAGCATTTGGCAACGTTCCTATTGCTAAATTCAAGGAAATCTTATGCTAAGCTCCGCAGGAGTTTTGTGGACCTTTGATGCAGATGATGTCATTAGTTTGCATCTGGCTATGGAAACAGGGTCAGATACTTCTCGGATCACCTCCAGTTTCCACCAGCAGTAGATAAGGATTGGTTTCAGAATAGCACAGTGAATCTTGTAGCGACTTTAATTGTTGCAGAGGGAGGAAGGGAATACCAATGACCTCTACATCGATCAAAGAACTACATACAAAAGTATAAGCTGTAGTTATTTATTTGTTGAAGTTAACAATATTAAAGATTGGTAAAATATGTGTGTAGTGGTTTTTCTAATAACTAACTTTAGAAAATACATGCTTTGGCAATGCTGTTTTTATATAATTTTATATGCTTACATACCCGGGGTTAAGCTGTATTGAGTGAAAAAGGGTTGCAAGTTGAAAAAATCCTGTCCATTTTGTTTGTCAATAATTGTTTCTATCTATTTACTGCTCTCTTGTGGTTGTATCTGAGTGCTGCATACATATATAATATATTGTTCCTATAAGTCAGTACCTAATTCTTTCTATCTATATACTGCCATCTCGTGGTTGCATCTGAACACTCTATATATATATATATAT